CACCACCACTACTACCAACACCACTATTACCACCACCACCACTACTACCAACACCACTATTACCACCACCGCCACTACTACCACCACCACTATTACAACCACTAACTACCACTACTAACTACCATCACCACTAACCACCACCACATACCACCACAACTACCACCACTACCACCACCACAACTACCACCACAACTACCACCACCACCCCACCACAACCACCACTACCACCACATACCACCCAAACTCCACCACCAACTACACCACAACTACCACCCCACAAACCAACACCACCACACTACCACCACACTACCACCACACCACCAACTCCCACAAACAACACACACCACACACCCACAACACCACAACCCACCACACCCCACAACACCACCACCACCCCACACTACCACACACCCCACAACTACCACCACACCCACCACACACCCAACCACCCACCACCACCACCACCACACACACCCCAACCACACCACCCCCACACCACCAAACCACCACAACACCCACACCCCACCCACTACACCCCCCACCCCCAACACCCCACACAACCCCCCCCACCCCACCACCACCCCCTCACCACACTACCACCACCACCACAACTACACACCACACTACCACCACACTACCCACACACCACCACTACCACCACAACTACCACCACAACTCCACCACAACTACACCACACAACTACCACACTACCACCACTAACACCACACTACCACCACAACTACCACCACAATACCACCACACACCACCACCACTACCACCACAACTACCACCACTACCACCACAACTACCACCACAACTACCACCACCACTACCACCACTACCACCACACTACCACCACAACTACCACCACACTACCACCACACTACCACCACCTACCACCACCACTACCCCACTACCACCACAACTACCACCACAACTACCACCACAACTACCACCACTACCACCACCACAACTACACACCACAACTACCACCACACACTACACCACCACACCACCAACTACCACCACACACACCACCACCACACTACCACCACACCACACCACCACTACCACCACCACTACCACCACACTACCACCACACACTACCACACACCAACCCACCACACACACCACCACTACCACCACCACACCACCACAACTACCACCACCACAATACCACCACCACAACTCCACCACCACACAACTACACCACCCACACTACCCACCACAACTACCACCACACTACCACACACTACCACCACAACTACCACCACAACTACACCACCAACTACACACCCACACACACTCACCACCACCACCACAACTACCACCACACACTACCACCCACACCACCACAACTCACCACAATACCACACAACTACCACACACCACACCACACCACAACACCACACACACTACCACACCACACTACCACCACCACTACCCACCACTACCACCACAACTACCACCCACAACTCCAACCAATACCACCCAATACCACCACACACTACCACCACAACTACCACCACAACTACCACCACTCACCACCACACTACCACCACAACTACCTACCACACACCAACTACCACCACTAACTCACCACATACCACAACTACCACCACCCACCACCAACACCACCACCACAACTACCACCACCAACTACCACCACACCACAACAACTACCACCACAACTACCACCACCACCACCTACCACAAACTACCACCACAACTACCACCACTACACACACCCCACAACTACCACCACTACCAACACAACTACCACCACTACCACAACTACCACCACCACTTAAGGCATATATCTTTTTTTTGTAAGGTTATTTTCTCTTAAGATTTTTTCCCCATTTTTTTTATCGATGCTTAAAAGGTAATTTATGAGCTTAAAGGATTCATCTGCGGCTGAGTTACCCTCCCTGTCTCCCTCCTTCCCTGTCTCCCTCCCTCCACCCATTTGGTGGAGGGTGAGGGAGGGACACGGGGGACGTAGGGAGGGAGGAAAGAAGGGAAGGGGAGACAGGGAGAGCTGGAAGGAGGAAGATTAAGTGGCAGGGGGAAATACAGGGAGGGAGGGTAGTGGCAGGGGAAGAATTATCATACCTCGCATGATCACTAGTGACTGTTATCATACCTCACATGATCACTAGTGACTGTTATCATACCTCACATGATCACTAGTGACTGTTATCATACCTCACATGATCACTAGTGACTGTTATCATACCTCACATGATCACTAGTGACTGTTATCATACCTCACATGATCACTAGTGACTGTTATCATACCTCACATGATCACTAGTGACTGTTATCATACCTCACATGATCACTAGTGACTGTTATCATACCTCACATGATCACTAGTGACTGTTATCATACCTCGCATGTTCACTAGTGACTGTTATCATACCTCACATGATCACTAGTGACTGTTATCGTACCTCACATAATCACTAGTGACTGTTATCATACCTCACATGATCACTAGTGACTGTTATCATACCTCGTCTTAAAACTATGTATGGTTCCTGCCTCCACTACATCACTTACCAGACTATTCCACTTCCTGACAACTCTATATCTAAAGAAATACTTCCTAACATCCCTTTGACTCATCTGAGTCTTCAACTTCCAACTGTGTCCCCTTGTTGCTGTGTCCCATCTCTGGAACATCCTGTCTTTGTCCACCTTTATTCCTCACAGTATTTTGTATGTCGTTATCGTTGTGTGTGTGTATATATATATCTGTATGTGTGTGTGTAAGAATGTGTGAATTTAGTGAAGGTTTCTCTAGTTTAACGTTTGTGATGGTCGCTAGATGGCAGTACCCACTAGGAGATACCAGTACCCACCACCATTACTGCCACCACTACCAGCATTACTACCATCACTACCACCACTACTACCATCACTACCACCATTACTACAATCACTACCACCATTACTGCCACTACCACAGTTGCTGCCACTACCACAATTACTGCCACCACTGCTACCATTACTACCACCACTACGACTCCATTGCTGCCACCACTACCACTCCATTGCTACCACCACTATCACTTCATTGCTACCACCACTACCAGCATTACTACCTCCACTCATACCATTACTACCACCACTACCACCACCATTACTACCACCATTACTACCACCATTCCTACCACCATTCCTACCACAATTACTTCCACTATCATCTTAACTACCACCCGTACTACCACCATTGTTACCAGTACTAACACACACACACACACCACACACACACACACACACACACACACACACACACACACACACACACACACACACACACACACACACACACGTACACGTACGCCAAGCCCATATTGGAGTACGCAGCACCAGTTTGAAACCCACACCTGGTCAAATACGTCAAGAAATTAGAGAAAGTGCAAAGGTTTGCAGCAAGGTTAGTTCCAGAGCTAAGGGGAATGTCCTACGAAGAAAGGTTAAGGGAAATTGGCCTGACGATACTGGAGGACAGGTGGGTTAAAGGCGATATGATAATGACATACAAAATACTGTGAGAAATAGATAAGGTGGACAGAGACAGGATGTTCCAGAGATGGGACACAGAAACAAGGGGTCACAATTGGAAGTTGAAGACTCAGATGAGTCAAAGGGATGTTAGGAAGTATTTCTTTAGTCATAGAGTTGTCAGGAAGTGGAATAGTCTGGCAAGTGAGGTAGTGGAGGCAGGAACCATACATAGCTTTAAGACGAGGTATGATAAAGCTCATGGAGCAGGGAGAGAGAGGACCTAGTAGCGATCAGTGAAGAGGCGGGGCCAGGAGCCGAGTCTCGACCCCTGCAACCACAATTAGGTGAGTACACACACACACACCGATAAAACAGGCCTAGTGTCTAATCGACATGTGCCTAGGACAAAATGGTAACTAACAAACATACACAAAATGGTAACTAACAAACACACACAAAATGGTAACTAACAAACATACACAAAATGGTAACTAACAAACACACACAAAATGGTAACTAACAAACACACACAAAATGGTAACTAACAAACACACACAAAATGGTAACTAACAAACACAGAATGATATACCCTGGGGTAAAAGATAGCCAGTACGGAATTATCCCAGTATAATATCCAAAGTTCGAATGATGTGCTTGATAATCCCAGATGTTTCGTGACAGATGAACACGCATGATAATCCCAGATGTTTCGTGACAGATGAACACGCATGATAACTTCTTCGTTATTCTGACATGATAACCTCTCTATATCTGGCAAGATAACTTCTGTAGATCTGGTAGGATAACCTCTGTGTATCTGGCAAGATAATCTCTGTATATCTGGCAGGATAACATCTGCATATCAGGCAAGGTATGTTTGTGTATATGCACCGAAAGGTGTATATATGTGTATATATACCGAGAAGCTTTCATCTCCCAGTTTATATACACAGAGAGCTGTATATCTCTCAGTAAATATACACAATGACGTGTTTCTCAGTATATATATGCTGGAAATTTTGCTCTAATCTCTATTTTAGGTATTAAAGTATTAATGACTGATGTGCAGGCGATATGCAGCCTTAATAAACATCGCGTATCAGCTAGTCTTCAAACCTAATAAACTAACCAGTAAAACCCACAAAACACTATTGTTTTGTGGCCTTAAAATTATGTCTTGCAAATAAATATGTAATTTGTCTCTGAACCGATTATAAATTCGCTTGTAAAAGACAGTAAGAGGGTAGATGACTGCTCACTAATGGAGAGAAATGATCGAGAGAGCACATTTCGAGCACGTTTAGTGATGACGTTTCGGTCTTGGGAGACCTTGACCACTCCAAGTGCGGTATTTCAAGTGACCATGGTCCCAGGACCGAATAAAAAGTGCATTGTTTTCTATTGAAAGAATGCGCTTCTCAATAATTACGATTATAATATGTGAAAATTGACTGTAGGTGTAATGTTCGTGTTGTTTCTTGCAGACGGTGACTGGACGCTGCCGCAGCTAGGAGACTTCTCCAGCAACAACGTAAGTCACTCTTATACTAATGTACTGTGTCGTAAGTCACTCTTATACTAATGTACTGTATCGTAAGTCACTCTTATACTAATGTACTGTATCGTAAGTCACTCTTATACTAATGTACTGTATCGTAAGTCACTCTTATACTAATGTACTGTATCGTAAGTCACTCTTATACTAATGTACTGTATCGTAAGTCACTCTTATACTAATATACTGTATCGTAAGTCACTCTTATACTAATGTACTGTATCGTAAGTCACTCTTATACTAATATACTGTATCGTAAGTCACTCTTATACTAATGTACTGTATCGTAAGTCACTCTTATACTAATATACTGTATCGTAAGTCACTCTTATACTAATGTACTGTATCGTAAGTCACTCTTATACTAATGTACTGTATTGTAAGTCACTCTTATCCTAATGTAGTTTATCGTAAGTCAGTCTTATCCTAATGTTCTGTATCGCAAGTCAGTGTTATCCTTATGTAATTTATCGTAAGTCAGTCTTATCCTAACGTAATTTATCCTAAGTCAGTCTTTCCCTAATTTAATTTATCCTAAGTCAGTCTTATCCTTATGTACTGCATCGTAGGTCAGTCTTATCCTAATGTACTTGCATTGTAAGTCAGTCTTGTCCTAATTTAATTTATCGTAAGTCAGTCTTATCCTAATGTTCTGTATCGCAAGTCAGTGTTATCCTTATGTAATTTATCATAAGTCAGTCTTATCCTAATGTTCTGTATCGCAAGTCAGTGTTATCCTTATGTAATTTATCGTAAGTCAGTCTTATCCTAATGTTCTGTATCGCAAGTCAGTGTTATCCTTATGTAATTTATCGTAAGTCAGTCTTTACCTAATGTTCTGTATCGCAAGTCAGTGTTATCCTTATGTAATTTATCGTAAGTCAGTCTTATCCTAATGTTCTGTATCGAAAGTCAGTCTTAACGTAAATCGATCGTATAAAAACATAATGTAACGTAAATCAGTCTTCTCTTAACGTAACATAACGTTAGGCTTCTCTAAATACTTCTAAACACGTTTTTTTTCCCTCTTCATGTTAGGTGGTGTGGGGAGGGGGGTTTGTTCGTAAGGTTAGGTTAGGCTGGGTTAGGTTAGGCTGGGTTAGGTTAGGCTGGGTTAGGTAAAGTTAGGTTAGATAAGGTAAGGTTAGGCTGGGTTAGGTTAGGTAAGGTTCGTCAGGAAACAGGACAAGTGTTTCCTGACGTGGGTCTTAGTCATATGATGACAAGCAGCTGGAGCTTTTGGTCATTTGACCGAGGCCTTCCGCTGGCTTACCCCTCCACCTCTTTAAAAACTATGGTTATGTGTATGACCGTTTTCTACAAGGAACAGGGGTCAGGGTCATCGTATGACCCCTAAGAGGTTAAGTATAAACTAGTGGTGGCTGTTTTTTTCTGTGTCAGGAAGCACAAGTGTCTATATCATTGTCAGGAGGCAGGTGTGAGGGACTCGCACCCCCACACCCATCATTTCAAAACATAGATTCTTTCGCCCCTCCTTCCAATTTAAAATTTGGTCATGCCTCATAATTTTCGAAATCTGTGTAAAAGAGCATCAAACTTATTTACTACTCAGTGTGAGGCAAAAAAAAGGCCTCCACACACACACACACACACACACACACACACCACACACACACACACACACACACACACACACACACACACACACCACACACACACACCTACACACACACCTACACACACACCTACACACACACCTCACACACACCTACACACACCTACACACACACCTACACACACCTACACACAACACCTACACACACACCTACACACACACACCTACACCACACACACCTACACACACACACCTACAACACACACACACCTACACACACACACCTACACACACACACCTACACACACACACCTACACACACACACCTAACACCACACACACTACACACACACACCTACACACACACCTACACACACACCTACACACACCTACACACACCTACACACACCTACACACACACCTACACCACACACACACACACCTACAACCTACACACACACACCTACACACAACACACACCACACACCCACACACACACACACACACACACACACACACACACACACACACACACACACACACCACACAATCTACCACACACCACACCTACACACACACACACCCCACACACCTACACACACACACACCACACACACACACACACACACCTACACACACACACACACACACTACACACACACACCTACACACACACACACACACACACCACACACACACACACACACACACACACACACACACACAAATACACCTACACACACACACACCTACACACACACACACACACCTACACACACACACACCTACACACACACCTACACACACACCTACACACACACACACACACCTACACACACACACCTACACACACACCTACACACACACCTACACACACACCTACACACACACCTACACACACACACACACACACACACACACACACACACACACACACACACACACATGGAAGGACAAGCGCACCCCCCAGAAACACCTGCAGAAGGACTCCAGCCACGACACCCCCAAGGCAACTGAACATTCCAAACCAACCATCACACACCGATCCCTCTGTTTCCACCCCCCGCACCACAGTATTAGAACAGAAGTTGAAGGTTTGGTACACAAATGCAGATGGATTAATGAATAAACATGAGGAATGGCAAGAAAGAATCAATGAGAAGTCCCCAGACATCATAGCAGTTACAGAAACAAAACTCATGGAGACAATAACAGATGCAATCTTCCCACCAGGATACCAGATCATGAGGAAAGATAGAAGGGGTAGGGGGGGAGGTGGGGTTGCTCTGCTCATAAAAAACAGATGGAAATTCGAGAAAATGGAAGGAATAGATGAGACAGGAGAAAGAGACTACATAGCAGGTACACTTCAGTCTGGGGAACACAAAGTGGTCATTGCAGTGATGTATAATCCACCACAGAACTGCAGGAGGCCAAGAGAGGAATATGAAGAGAGCAACAGAGCAATGGTGGACACACTTGCTGAGGTGGCAAGAAGAGCTCACTCCAGCAGAGCAAAGTTGCTGGTTATGGGGGATTTCAACCACAGGGAGATTGACTGGGAAAACCTGGAGCCACATGGGGGTCCCGAAACATGGAGAGCCAGGATGTTGGACGTGGTGCTGGAAAACCTCATGCACCAACATGTTAAGGACACTACCAGAGTGAGAGGGGAGGATGAACCAGCAAGATTGGACCTTGTGTTCACCCTGGGCAGCTCGGACATTGAGGACATCAAGTATGAGAGTCCCCTAGGAGCTAGCGACCACGTGGTTCTGTGCTTTGAATACATAGTAGAGCTGCAAGTGGAAAGAATAACAGGAGTAGAATGGGAAAAGCCTGACTATAAAAGAGGGGACTACATAGGGTTGAAGAACTTCATGCGGGAGGTCCAGTGGGACAGAGAACTGGCAGGAAAGCCAGTAAACGAAATGATGGAATATGTAGCAACAAAATGCAAGGAGGCAGTGGAAAGGTTCATTCCCAAGGGCAACAGTAACAACGGGAAGACCAGAACAAGCCCCTGGTTTACCCGACGGTGTAAGGAGGCAAAAACAAAGTGCAATAGAGAATGGAAAAAGTACAGAAGGCAGAGAACACACGAAAATAGGGAGATCAGTCGCAGAGCCAGGAATGAGTACGCACAGTAAGGAGGGAGGCCCAGCGACAGTATGAAAATGACATAGCATCGAGAATCAAGACTGACCCGAAACTGTTGTATAGCCACATCAGGAGGAAGACAACAGTCAAAGACCAGGTGATCAGATTAAGGACAGAAGGTGGAGAACTCACAAGAAATGATCAGGAGGTATGTGAGGAGCTGAACAGGAGATTTAAGGAAGTTTTTACAGTAGAGACAGGAAGGGCTGTGGAAGACAGCACAGAAGGGAACATCAAGAGGGAATACACCAACAAGTGTTGGATGACATACGAACAACTGAGGAGGAGGTGAAGAAGCTCTTAAGTGACCTTGACACCTCAAAGGCGATGGGACCGGAAAAACATCTCCCCATGGGTCCTTAGAGAAGGAGCAGAGATGCTGTGTGTGCCTCTAACCACAATCTTCAACACATCCCTTGAAACTGGGCAACTACCTGAGAAATGGAAGACAGCTAATGTAGTCCCCATATTTAAGAAAGGAAACAGAAACGAGGCACTAAACTACAGACCTGTGTCTCTGACATGTATTGTGTGCAAAGTCATGGAGAAGATTATCAGGAGGAGAGTGGTCGAACACCTGGAAAGGAACAAGATTATAAATGAAAACCAGCATGGGTTCATGGAAGGCAAATCTTGTATCACAAACCTCCTGGAGTTTTATGACAAGGTAACAGAAGTAAGACACGAGAGAGAGGGTTGGGTAGATTGCGTTTTTCCTAGACTGCAGGAGGCCTTTGACACAGTTCCCCACAAGAGATTAGTGCAGAAGCTGGAGGATCAGGCACACGTAAAAGGAAGGGCACTGCAATGGATAAGGGAATACCTGACAGGGAGGCAGCAACGAGTCATGGTACGTGAAGAGGTATCACAGTGGGCGCCTGTTACGAGCGGGGTCCCACAGGGGTCAGTTCTAGGACCAGTGCTATTTTTGATATATGTGAACGACATGATGGAAGGAATAGACTCTGAAGTGTCCCTGTTCGCAGATGACGTGAAGTTGATGAGAAGAATTAAATCGGACGAGGATGAGGCAGGACTGCAAAGAGACCTGGAGAGGCTGGACATGTGGTCCAGTAACTGGCTCCTCGAATTCAATCCAGCCAAATGCAAAGTCATGAAGATTGGGGAGGGGCAAAGAAGACCGCAGACAGAATATAGGCTAGGTGGACAAAGACTACAGATCTCACTCAGGGAGAAAGACCTTGGGGTGACCATAACACCGAGTACATCACCGGAGGCA